CCAGTTACAATCGCATGATTAAACATTTGTTACCCGTGTTTCCCCAGCTGCTTTTCCTGTGACAGTTTTCTTCTTTTTTTAGTAGGCAAGTTGTGGAAGATGGACAATGCCTCTGTTATGTAGGCTATCTAGTACCGGCATTCAGCAGTGTTGGGGGGAGGGCGGAGAGGAAAAAAAGAAACTGGAGACTATTTTTGCAATGCATCCTCAAACCCGCACAGCTGGGGGTTGAGCAGGCAATCCAGAGCCCCTCTGTAGCCGCGTGTGTTGCAGTGGCTGCAACACTAAAAGGGCCACAATTTGGCACTAGAGCCTCTAAGGATCTCCTGTTCTAAAGCCAGCCTCGATAACAGGGTCCCAGGCAGCTTGACACTTGCATCCTGGGTCTAGTTTAAGATTTTAAGATGGACCACTCTGTTTTTATGGTTTTCAAGCAAAGTGGAGCTATTTGGGGCTAGAGTTCCGTTTCAAGCTGTGATATGTCAGCTCCAGCTATGAGATTTCTCCTGCCAATTAATTGCAACTTAGAGACAAATCTGATTTAGTCTGTATGAAGTTGTGAGTAGATGGTGAAAGTATATGAGTTGACATGTGAATTCAGTCACACAAATCTAAATGGTCTCGAGAGGACCCTGCATTCCAGTTGGCTTAATCTAGAGAAGCACCAGTCATTTCAAAGATGAACAGATAAATGTGGCATTATATATTTGGGACTGATCAGCAGACAGGTAAATAGGACTATCATAGTTCTACTATTAGGGCAGTGTATCTCCTAGAAAATATATGTTGGTGCAGGTCCTTATAGCAGACCAATCTAAAGAAGGTGGAAGAGCTTAATACAGCTAGTATGGATGGACAGAAGAGAATACACATTATCTTTTTGAAGCTATAATAATTATATCATGACCATAAAAACCAGCCAGTCTTAGGATGAGGACCACAGGGCAGTGCAGACCTTAGCAAGTCTCAGGAATTTATGGCAAGTGTTATTTTCCAGAAGCCTGAGACAAGTCCCCATCTTGAAAAAGAAGCTAGCAGAGATTTGCCAAAGAAAATTTTTAAAAAGCCCAAAAGGGCATCCAGAAAATGGTCAGGATAGCGTTTTGGGTGCATCTCTCAAGTTTGCTCTAAGGTTACGCTGGACTGCTTGCTCTCTAGTTTGGCCTATAAAGTCTCTAATAAGTCCTCAGGCAGTTTATCTTGCAGAGGAAATGAGAGAAACCGTAGCATCCTCACTGAGCCAGCTGTTCCCATCTGGGTGGCAGGCGTGTGAGCTTTAAGAGGTTCTCTCTCTTCTGGCATTGTAAACAAAGACAAGCAGCCTGGGAGAGCATTGCTGGTACACAGCCCACGTAACCAGCCCAAGTCATCCCCCAACTGGGAGTTCTGAAAACGAGCAAATGGAACTCACGCCTCTTCCAACATGTTACGTGGACACATTCCCGAGAACTCCATACTGTGCTGTCAGATATGGGTAGTAGTCACAAAATAAATATCATGAAAAGAATGCCAACTATGAAGGAAACCTGTGAAAAAAACCCTCAGTGCTTCTTTTTCTATATTTAATAATCTGGAGAAGGAATTTGTCAAAAAAGATGCAAAGATGCACAGCAAAAACATGATACGGATCTATACATAGGCATACATATCTAGAGAGAGAGCGGGCACACACAAAAGACATTTGGGATGGGATGACTTGTGGAATAAAGATTAATCCAATCACAAAAAATCAAAATCCATATATCATAAAAAAACCCCTTCTTATTAAAAATCACTTTGAATTCTTTAGATAAAAGCAATTAAGTTGGCATTTCAACTCTTTCTTGTGACCTTTAATTTCTAGAGAAACGACGCTGCAGCACCTGTTTCAGCTGCTTGGAGCATGCAGAGATCCTTTCAAGAGGAGTTACACAAATCTAGGGCAGCTACCGGCACGAACTTCCCAACAGCCTGGCCTCTCCTCGTTGCTCAGCGTTACTCTCTGTGCCGGCAGCCTCTGTCCGCACCATTTATCGCAATGGTACGGCGGCCTCTAGAGACGCCCCGGCAATGCCGGATTAAGCTCCCAAGACAAGGAATGCTCTGGATCAGGCCTGGCAAGGCAACCTTATTTTACTGAGTAACGAGACCGAGAGGAGCCCCACATGGGATATGGCTGTGTTCTGTCAAACTTCATTTCAGTGCACATCTTGGCCAAGACGTAATCTAAATCTTTAGTTGTAGAGAGTTACTGTCTCAGCTGTTGCGTATTTGGTTTCTGCATATCCTTTCTCATCAAGCTGGATGGTTAGCGTTGGATAAAACGGTGCCAGCTTCAACAAAACACACAGCTTATGGTTATGCCACAGGACCATTGATTGACGCTGCAAACACTGCTAGAAGAGCTATGTCTGGATTCTCAGCTTAAGTGATAAACGCAGGCAAACATGCTACAGCCAGCTCTGCGCGCGCACTGAAACAATACAAGCAGCCTGTACCTCCCGGAGGAAGCTACCACTGCTCTTTGATTAGCTGTGCAATACTAGGAGATAATGTAGATGCCCTAGATAGCATGTCTAGATATCCCATACAGTTTAGAGTATCCTATATTTTATTGCCAAATCCCACAGTCCCTATAAAAGCAATTGTGATACTGCTTTTTCCATATCCAGGAGTAACAGACACCTTTTCTAGGCCTAGTGAGAGAACCAGGTATCTTGCACTCATAAACGAACGATGCAGCAGTTCTGACAACAGACACTTTATAGCTAGCGAGCGTTGTCTGTGTAGATGCTCTGTGCAAGTGCGGAGAGAAGGGAAAAGTCTTTGGCACGCGGGTCGGGTCTGCGTACAGACACTCCTATGCCCGGTCGCACCGCGCGGGCGTGCTGCCCTGCAGCTCCCCCGGTCGCGTTTCCTTCTGGCCCGTTAGGAAAGCAGTCCTGCAGTTTCTTTCAGAATTAGCAGCTCTCCCTTTCTGCCTCCTAAGGCCAAGCATGATCGTGTCTTCCTTGGGTCTAGGGGAGTGACACCAAACATTAATCTTTGCCGAGATGCTGCTCTGCTGTAGAAACAGCAGTCTCTGTCAACCTAACGTGGAAAAAAATCTAGCTTGCTGTTTTTCTCTTTTCGCTGGATACACCTTATCACATGGCTAGAAAAGCCTAATGTTTTGTTAAGGAGTGCAAAGGTTAACGCACACCAGATGGCAGAGAAACGTATTTCTGTGGAAGCTGGAGAAGTATTCAGCTGAAAATACATCAGACTGGAAATCTGGGGAAGAACGATCAGAGGTCTCAGCATCTTACACAGAAAAAAACTGGTCTGAATGCAAACCATTGAAAGTCCTGCTGCCTCTAACAGGTCTCTAGGGCTGCCGTGTCTCGTGGAGCATCACGTATGTTTTACATAACACATGGTATGGGCAGCTTGAGAATTGGCATGTGCACGACACGCTGCGGAGACACGTAAAGCCCTCCCTTAGGGCACTGTGCTAGCTGCTGAGCTCACACACAGCCAGTTTAGCCTTACAAAGAGAGCAGCGGAAAATATGTGCTTGTGTTTAGCAATGACTGGATTTTTAGGGAGAGGGAGCCATTATTACTGACACAAAAGCAGTGGACTTTGGGGTGGCCAGAGCTCCACTCGATCACCTGTATCTCGTGCTTCTATTGTCACCCAAACCAGACTTCCTCCCCTCCTGGCCAAGAACTCCTGTGCTCCCACCTTTCAATAGGCTCTCACGTCCCAGCCACTGGGAAATGACTCATTTCTTCCCATTCACACACAAAACGTGTCCGGGGGCATAGAGGTGCCATGCTCTCCCTACCTGGCACACGGGGTGCTGCAGGAGACGCGGCTGCGCCCAGAGCACGCAGGCAGGACACGGGTGCCTGACAGCCGTGGAGAGCCCACGTTTCTCCTCCAGTTCTCCTCCAAGCTCCCACTCTGTCGTGAGCCACCGAGGAGAACCCTTGAAGTCCCCACACGTGCAGCCCTCTTGACCAGGGGCACAGTGTGACTAACGAACCAAACCCTTCAGTCCACCCCGTCTGGAAAACAAGGGAGTCCCTTCAGGAAACACTCCACAGCCAGGGATTTTGACTGGGTCACATTCTACATGAGCAAAGCTCACAAATCCTACTTCCAGTAGAATTTCCTACGCACGGAGACAAGCGCACACAACGGATCAGAGCAGCTTACAGAACAGACACACAATTTTTCAATTACCCTGCTTTCTTCCCCCACCTCTAGCAGTGCTCATATTAAGTTTCATCAGCCACTATCTCATACTTTGGGTAATTCCCTTCCCTTGAGGAAAGCGTGCAGCCCCTTCAAGAAATATTATATGTCTGCATTAGTGACTGGACTCGGAATACTGGATCCATGCAGCACTTCCAGGCAGATAGACAGGAAATCCATTTTCTTCCAGTGATTACAGCAGAAGGGCTTCTGTCTGACTGGAACTTGCCTGATGAGGCTGTAAAATAATCTCAGCATCAGGCTATTGCCTTTCAGGCTGTGTTTGTGAGTTATGACGGGGCAGTTTCCACTGCAGTACTGGGTACGGGCAGGTGTCTGCAGAGCCCTACAGCTTCTTTTCCCCACCCTCCCCACGTACAATGCCACATCGTTTTAATTTCTACACGAAGGAAGGATTTTCATACAGGACCAGACCTTTCGATCACTACTCCCTCCCTCTATACTGTATTTTTTTTTTTTTTCAATAACTTTTACACAAGAGTAAGCAGCCGGTTGTCTGGAAGCTCCTTTGGGAACAGATTGCAAAGAGATAATGGGAGTGAGTAACAGAGAGGATGGTGATTTCATACCGTGGAGGTTTGAGTCATGTTTCTCCTTTTCATTTTTGAAGAAGAAAACGTTTTTCAAATCGCCCTCAATCATGCCGCGGGTCCCTGGCTTTGGAGCAGGAAACGGACGTGTGAATCGACACTTACGCTTCCTTACAGCCTTTAATTTTTGATCCAGTGAAAGATTCCAGTGCCCCACACTCATACCCCATGATAATCCGTCACCCAGCATCCCGCATGCAGAGTATTTCCCACACTTGGGAATCTGCTACCAGGTGAGCGTTAGCCCAGCAACGCTACAGTGAAGACCGTGATGGGAGAGACACCAGAAAGAGGATCATTTCCTCCTTTCCATACTCACCACAAACATCCTTACAGTTTTATACTTCCATCTACTTTTCATTCTGTATTTCAACCCTTTCCTATATTTCTCTCATGAGGGATGATCAAGAAAGGTGATGTAACTGATGAGGGTCTGCGCACAGTTTCCAATTCAGAAACAGAAAAATCTCTCTTCATTGCTCCATCCGCCTTCCCTAGCTGCAGGGAGGGAGGAGGGCAGAGCCCCAGTCCCAGCCTCAGGGTCGCTAACAAATCTGCCCAGGAAGTTTTCTTCCAGGGAAAAGAAGTATCGGTCTCCATGATAATTATTCACAGTTGTTTCTGTCTGATGTTAATTGAAAAGGAGATTCTGGGGAACAGCGTAGCTCAAGAAGCTGAGCTTCATTCAAGTGTTTGGAGGTTTCTTGCTCAGGTCAAGTTCTGCTTGCGCCCAAGGTCAGCCCTCCTCTTCTTTCCTTCAGCGTGACTGTTTTAGGCTAACTTCAGTCTATGCTTGTATATCGTTAGCTGATTTTTGCTCAAGGAATCTCATTTAACGTACTCAGACCTGACTGCAATCTCCAGCTTTACACATCATTAAGAGAGGAAATAATACAGCATTTCTATGAAATTTATGTCCGGGAAACTCCCAGTTTTCACACAAAGCTGGAAGCCTTCAAACAAGACAAGAGCAAGTAAAAATACAGAATCTTGCGTTGCCAATAGGAAAGACCCAAAGTTGCATTCCCTGATTATTTCACTTTAACTGTTGCAATGGTTGCTACCCTCATTTGTGACAGGCGGAGCCCCGAACAGAACCAAAAGGCGAGGGTTTACCACTTTACTACTACTTTAGCCCTCAGGCGGGCAGGTTACTGCTACCCTCTCCCTGTCAGTCCCCGAGGTCAGCAAACCTCACAGCTCTGAGCTGCAGCTGCCCCCAGGAGCACTCGCAGCGCCGCGCCGCCCGCCTCGGCGCTCACCGGCCGCGCTGGGCCAGGCAGGTGCTACATGCGGCGCATCGCGGCGGGTGGGCATGGAAAGATTTGCTCCAGGCAGGAGCGACGGGGCCGTGTAGAGCCTGCGCTGGGCGCACCGGGAGGCAGATAACAAGCCAAAGGCAATAGTCCAATCAAACCTGGCAGGGCATTCTCGCGTGGTGGAAGGAAAAAGACAAAGTTTAAAAGAATTCTGGCATGACATAGCAATAAGAAAAACTTTTGAAAAACCAAACGAACCCTCATTTTTAACAGCTTACACTCCAGTACCAGCATTGCTCCTTTTCTATCTTTCTGCAACAGCACTAGCTCAGATGCTCCATTGCGTCAGATTTCTTACGAACAATTATCAATATATTCTTTTCGTACGCCTCACATCAGTTTTTAAATATGTTATAGGATCAATCTTATACACAAGAAGGAGAGAAGGCCAATGGTGCCTTTCTTTCGCATGGTGTGCGGCCGGCTGCAGAGATGGGACCGTACGGGAGCGGCGCATCAGCCCTGCCGGCAAGAGCAGGGCAAAGGCAGCTGTGGGCGGCGCTAGGAAACGGCTGGGGATTCAACAAGGGAAAAAGTGATGTCAGGCACCACAGAGGAGACGGAGGAAAAGAATCTCCGTGAAGGACTTTGCAAATAGAAAGGAGACAGAATTCCAAAAGCTACTCTTAGTCACAGGGCTGGTTTAGTTTAAACATTTCCAGCATACGTTGGATCCAGATGTATCCAATACTCGATTTCTATGCATTCTACCAAGAAAACTACACAGAGTGTAAAATAAGGCTCCTTATTTAAAAGGACTAGCAGCATGGACTTGTGTCAGACTATTCCCTGCCTTCAGGTGGCCTTAATTTAGCTGGATTGAGCTAGAGCAAAGTTATAATGAAGTTCTTTAGAGTATCACCTTAAAAAAATAAATCTATTAAAAAGAGAATGAAATAACGACATGAGAAATTGTCTGTCTCAGGGAAACATTTGAGGCACATCTCTCCCTTGTTTATTTGCAGAAGAGAAGACAGACACAACTGGGATATGTTTTACATTACACAGCATAAGGGTTTGGGACATTCCTGTCTGCACCCAAGAGGTGTTTATACTGGTAGGTTCCATTATGAATCTGTTTAATATCCTGTGAACGCTCAGAGTCCTTCGCACACTCCAGGCAGGAAGTCTTTAATGCACATACTGAGAAGACATTTCCAACCATTCAAACATTCGATAAATAAGCATGAAAAAAGTCATTCTACTGCAATAATTAAATTCTTCTTGTGCTTTTGCAAGCTTTCTTAGAGAACAAGCCTCTCAATTCTAGCAGAGTTGTTCATAAAGTCTGAGAAAGCCATAAGGGAAACAAACATTCCGAGTTGTTTACCCTTTCTTTTTTTGTAGCACCATGAGATATTAGTTAAGATCAGAACCTCACAGTGTTCAGCTCAGAGCAGGCCTTGCCTCAAAGGCATTTTGTCATTTAAAATAGGTAAGTATCAAGAAGAAAGCAAAAATAGTCCCACGTACCCTTCTCTAACCGTAAAGCGGGCACTTGTCCGATGCTGGAAGAGCGCTACTAAGGGAACCGAGATGTCATTGATCTACCAGGCAAGGGCTCCGGACAATACTGTTCTTATCCTGATGTTATTATAAGGAATAACTCTGTTCATCTTTGATGGCTGACAAACTCTCACAATGCAGAAAGATAAGAAATACAGAAGAAACAAGTGCAAATCGGGAGAGGAGCCAGCACCATGCCCTGGCACAAGGAGGGCAAACCGCATCCTGGGGGGCATCAGACACAGCGTGGCCAGCTGGCCAAGAGAGGGGACGGTCCCGCTGCACTCGGCCTTGGTGTGGCCTCCCCTTGAGCACTGTGTGCAGTGCTGGGCCCCACCAGGAAGGATGTGAAGGTGCTTGAACGGTCCAGAGGAGGGCAACCAAGCTGGCGACAGGGCTGGAAGGCACGGTCTGAGGAGCAGCTGAGGGCTCCGGGTTTGTCTCCTTTGGAGAGGAGGAGGCTGAGGGGTGACCTCATGGCTCTCTGCAGCTTCCTGAGGAGGGGATGCGGAGAGGGAGGTGCTGAGCTCTTCTCCCTGGGATCCAGGGACAGGACGCCTGGGAACAGCTCAAAGCTGCACCAGGGGAGGTTCAGGCTGGACATGAGGAAACGTTTCCTTACCAAGAGGGTGGTCAAACCCTGGAACAAGATTCCGAGAGAGGTGGTCGATGCCCCAAGCCTGTCAGTGTTTAAGAGGCATTTGGACAGTGCCCTTAACAACACGCTTCAACTTTTGGTCAGCCCCGAAGCAGGCGGGCAGTTGGGCTGGGCGATCCTTGCGGGTCTCTTCCAGCTGAACTGTTCTGTTCTATTCCAGTTGCAGTTGCTTCGCCATCTTTTACATATATGAAGACTATAACTCACCATTTGGAAAACACCACAAGGGTAATAGTGTTGGATTTGGAATCTATGTATAACTTCAAATATGGAACTTGGCTTGAATTTTCACTTTCCTTCACAGTTGCTAGGGCCAACTTGACTAGCATTATTTTTAGGAGAAAAACGAGCTCTCTTTTTACAGTCTTCTCTCTGCTGTAATTTCATTGTGTCTGTGCCAGAATCAAGATGAGATGATGCCAAGAAAAAGGATGAGCTCATTGCATTTAACAGTATGAGGTTTCACAAATAAAAACCTACATTACTCTATTGAGAAGTAGGCAATGGTATACAACAGGGTTAAAGGCAGGTAATTTTAATTGGAAACAAAAGGAAAATGCTTTATTCTTCAGGTGTGAAACAGGCTGCTAATGTTGAGAGTACATTTCTTGAAATACTAAATAACCTGACCCCACCGCTTACCAGACTGGCACACCGCTTGCTAACGGCCATATTTATCTGTCCTACTTATGGGAGAGCAATGTTCAGACGCACTGGATGTTGGCAGCTCTGACTTGCTTTCATGACATTTGTTCCTGTTTTAGATAATTTGAAATCAGGCCATTGCTGAAGTCAGTGAAGATATAATTACAAGGGCATGTGAGAAGGCGATGCATATATTTTAAAATGCACCTGTGCACTTTATAAACAGATGAAGCCTTAGAATTTAAAGCCTGGTCAGGAGTGTAAATACTGCGGTGCTTGAGATGCCTCCACCTCCGTTGCACACCACTGGCAGCGTTACAAGCTGCTTTTCTCTTGCTCTAGGGTATCCATTGGGCTTTTAGGTGCAGAACGGCAGAATGCAGACCGTGAGTGCGTTCCTCAGAATACCTGGGACTACGCTCTTCGGGCACAAGAGGAAGAAGGTGGCCTGGGTGCCTGCCTGGATTTTTGCCAGGTACTGGAGGCAGGGTTTAAGTGCATACTGCTGCTCAGTTTGGCCCCTGCTCCTGTCTCCGAGGATTTCCTGGCTCTGGTCACTTGTGTCTTCTGTTACGCACGTTAAACATTCCCTTTAAGGTTGGTTGTTCCCACCCCAGCAGGGGTGAAGGCAAATGCAAGTGACTGGGGATTGCAGAGTAAGTTATGTGTTCAGATTGCTAACTTCCAGCCCCCTGTGCAGCAGGTGAGGAAATGGTAGCATCCAGCACCACTGCTGTGTGTCAAGAATTATGTCAGAAAACACAATTATCTATTCACACTCAGCCTGAATTTTTTCTAGTTTTAGTACTTGCCTATAAACAAATTACTAATCCAAACGTGAGCTCTATATTTCCACCCCGGTTCCAGTTTGCAAAGGCCCATTGTGCAAATGCTTCCTTTTTTCCATGCTTTGTAATGTCTATGCCATAACCAATAATATATTAATAAAGGATTTTGGTGGTCTGCCCCAGTCTAGGATACAAGCTGTCCGTGAGGTGGAGGCGTTAGAAATGCTGAACTTTGGAGAGTCCCAGGCAGTATGGGTATTTCCTTAGCTAGATCTGTCCTCAAAAGGGCTTGTGCAGCTGTGGTTCAATTCTGCATCTCTTTTCATCTTATCACACAGGCTTTTTAAGGGAGCAGGGATCTAGGGTATCTAGGAAATTTCTCCTGGTGGTAGTCCTTGGAGAACTGTTCTGGTTGCCCTTCCATAGGGATGGAATTTCTGATTATTCACCATTATTGTATTGTTACTGCACTTTTATGACTTGATATTAAATGAAAAAGATAAATGTTACTCATAAAACAACATAGTGAAAACTGAATTATAAGAAAGAGGTATTTGGATTTTCCTGTTGAAACCCAAGGTCTAAATCTCAGCCTCCGGAAGGACGGATTCAGCACCCTTTGCACACCTTGTTGATTCCTGGGTTGCACCGAGACCAAAAAGTTCTTACTCCACAGAACCATGAAACATTCTCAATGGTGCTGTAGTTCAGAAGAACCTCTCAAAGCTGAGAGATCTAACAACCATCACCTCTCCAGCAGTGCATTTTCCAAGAAAGCCAGATGCACAGTCTCTTCTACAAGCCCCCTGCAATCTTTGCAGCGCGTTGCGTAAAAAAGGAGGAGTCTTCAACAGGGAAAGCCAGTTGGGATGTCTATAACGCACATCTGAGCTCATGGTGTGTTTGGTTGGCTGGATTTTTGCATAAGAGCTTGGACTGGTACAACTAAATCATTTTATGCAAGATAAGTAGCCAGAGGCGTCAAAGATTGCCTCATTTTCTATGTGACCAAAATGTAAATAAAGATATGTAGTTTTCCTGTACCCTTAGGAAAATCCTTTAACTAAGCTGCCAAGTATCCCATGGCTCCTATTTAGAAAGCCATAGGAAGATATGACCCATTCCATCTCCTTCACTCCTCCTGCAACCTAACAGGATCACAGCGTCCCCTATGGCTTTCCCAGGGGTGTCTGCCCCGATGTCTCACTGACACAGGATGACCTAATTTGTTATGGCTGGTAAGAACTGCGAGAAATGAAATCCAGGGTCTGCAGTTAATTGGGGTCAGGTTGAGATGATTTATGATCTGAGGAATGTACTCAGTCTTGACACTATCATACGAACAACAGTATCAACTGGGCTCAGCAACCTTTGGAATCAAATTAGAACTGGGGTTTTCCAGAAAATGAGAAGTAGCACAGGCAAGACCTGAGGGAGAAGGCAGAGTAGTGGGCAGATGAGGCCCTATTTGATCTACAAAGCCAGGCACCTTCTCTTCCCACACTGTCAATCAGTTAACCTTCAAGTCCTGATTTATCGTGATTCAGAGGAGAGATGTTGCCAGGAATGGGTCTATGCCAAGAAAATTTCATCTGTCTGGAATCTGACAGGGGAAGGGAAAAAAGAAAAAAAAAAAAAGGTTTGGAAATTTCAGAGGAAGGTGGGATTTGTCCCAGTTACAGTGTCTGTGTTCACTCAGCTGGCTCACGTCAGCAAGTTCGGCTCACTGAAAAATAGTATCAAATGTTTTTCCGTCACTCAAGAACCTTGAGCTTGATCCCCAGTCCGTGGCTGCGCAGCGTAACCCATGACCCTAAGCAGCAGGAGCCTTCAGCAGGTTCCCCCATGCCTTTTGCTGTACATCCTAAATCAACATCTTCGTTTTCTCTGCGGGCTTTAGAAAAGGATTACAGAAGAATTACTCTATTTTCAAGTCCAAGGCACTTTAACACTCTTCAGAAGTTAAATACAACATGAAAATAAATTCATTCAGTACTGATTTTCTTTGAAAAAAATTCACTGGTGTTTTCTTTCCTAGTTAGGATTATTCCTGCTATCTTTGCATCCTGTTCTTAATTACACAAGATGCAGCTATTCATGAGCCCTGGGAGACCAGCGACTGAACGCAAGCTCTGGGCATACCCTTTTGCCCTCCGATACCAAGAGGTACTTCAAGAAGCTTGGAAAGCCCAGCAAGGAGCCCGAGTCTTACAGTCAATCCTGCAAATGTCTTATTTCAGGGAATACACAGCATTGCTGCTAGAGGAACTGCAAACGACTGCGCCCTGCCCCGTCACAGAAGAAAGGCGTGTGCAAGACTGACAGCCATCAGGCTTTGCAAACAGCCAGGGATGCTGTTCACGTTACTCCATCTGCTGCTCAGGATTCCTCCAGACATCAGTGGAAGCTTTAACCTTAACGCATTCTGTGAAGGTCTGGAAATGTGTGGTATATCGAGCCGGCAGCCATTGGGAATCAGCCTTCTGTGTACTGCTTTTCGAAAAGACCAGAAAGGAAGCAGTCGTCTCCTGATAGCGTGTTGTTACTGAGACCTGAGCACTGCACACATCCTGAAGACTTAGTTTTGTTCCTTTTTCATTGTTCTGGCTTAGTTTTTTAATCTCCATCTTTTGTTGGCATTCAGACAAAAGTCTATGAAACAACCTGTGGCGAGCAAAAGCACTAACAAAGATTGAAAGTCTCAGGCAACACTTTCCTACTCCTTCCAGCATTCACGTACCTCCCAGACAGCAGGA